AGAGAGAGAGAAAGAAATGGGATGTGCTAAGCTGAATAATAGTCCCCCAAAGTTATCCATATCATAATCCCTGGAGTTTGTGAATTTGTTACCTTACACGATAAAAGGGATGTTGTACATATGATGGAGTTAAGGATCTTGAGATGGAGAGACTATCCTGGAATTTCTGGGTGGGCCCGATACATTCACAAGGGGGAAGCAGTGTAGTCAGAGAGGAAGCGGTTGGAGGATGGTCCGATGGCCAGGGCCAAGGAATGCAGGCAGCTGCCAGAACTAGGAAAGGTGAGGAAACATTCTTGCCTAGGACCTCGAGGAAGAACAAACCCCCGCTGACACCATGATTTCAGTCCCCTGAGACTAACCTGAGACTTCTACCCTCCAGAAGTATAAAATAATAAATTTATGTTTTTTTAAAGACTAAATTACAACACCACAATGGGGTTGGTAACCAACCCCATAATGAGATGGGTGATTTGTTACAGTAGCAGTAGGAAACTAATACAGATGGCAGGAACCATGAAAACAATTCTAAGGTTTTGAGAGTTTCCAGTATAAAAGAAAGGAAGTTGGTTTTGTTTTTTTGGTTTTTTTGAGATGGAGTCTCACTCTGTCACCCAGGCTGGAGTGCAGTGGCTTGATCTTGGCTCACTGCAATTTCCGCCCTCCTGTTTCGAGCAATTCTCCTGCCTCAGCCTCCTAAGTAGCTAGGATTACAGGCATGCGCTAACATGCCCAGCTAATTTTGTATTTTTTGTAGAGATGGGCTTTCACCATGTTGGCCAGGCTGGTTTTGAACTCCTGACCTAGTGATCTGCCCGCTGCAGCCTCACAAAGTGCTGGGATTACAGGCGTGAGCCACCATGCCCGGCCCAAGTAAGTCATTTTCTATTACAGCTACTCTGTTACTTGCTGTCCTGAAATTTTTAATAAACAGATTTTTTCTTAAAAAAAAGAAGAAGAAGAAGGGAAATGATTGTGCTTTGCACATTAAAACACAATGCCTGGGACATTTTCCCTCCCTGGCTTTAGGAGAAATTCCTTGCAAGGTCTGATAAAAAGAAATAGTGAATAAGCCTTTTTGTAAAAGTGGGCATTAGCTCTTATGTTCACAGTTTCCAGTGATTTGTGTATTTTTTTGTAAAAAGGTGAATGGGGGCAAATGTGAGATGGCAGGGTTCATTGTTGACACGGCACTTTTGCCTTTGAGTTTTAAATAAGCTTTGGTGTCGTAATTGCCACTTAGTTCAGAACATGAGTGAGTTTTCCCAAGGTCAGGATACTTCCATGTGGTACATGGGAAGGAGCTACAGTGTCTCTGGGTAAATAAAAGTCAGAGGTCTTTTTGGAGGTGTGCATGGGTGGGTGTGAGGCCACCTGTGTGCTGTTAAGACCACTGGTGGTCTGACGTGGGTGACAACCCTTTTAAGAAGTCCAGATTCAGGGACTAATTTTTTCTTATTATTTTATTTTTTGACATAAAGGCCATTTAATGATAGAAATATAAAAAAAAATCATATTGTTTAGCAACAGTATGTCACATTTCTTGGGAAGAGGAAAGTGATCTGCTTTAAGAAAAACTTGCAACTGTGTACAAGATTTCATTTCAACACATTTTCCCCATCAGCTTAAGCATTTATCCTTTAAGTTATAAACAATCCAATTACACACTTTATTTTTAAATGTACGATTAAATTATTATTGACTATAGTCATGCTATTGTGCTATCAAATAGTGGGTCTTATTCATTCTTTCTAACTATATTTTTTGTACCCATTAACCATCCTCTCTCCCTCCCCTCCCCATCCCCGTGCTGCCCTTCCCAGCCTCTGGTAATCATCCTTCTACTCTCTCATGAGTTCAATTGTTTTGATTTTTAGATCCCACAAATAAGTGAGAACATGCAATGTTTCTCTTTCTGCACCTGGTTTATTTCACTTAACATGTTGTTGTAAATGATAGGATCTCATTCTTTTTTATGGCTATAATAGTATAAATTATTTTTAGCTTTACGTCTTCTGTTTGTACCTTTCGAGGTCATAAGTCAGCGTTCTCTCATATTCTACATAATTTAGAAGGCTATATTTCAGAATTTACTTTGTTTTAATTGAACTTTTTATTTTGAGGTCATTATAGATTCACATGCAGTTGTAAGAAGTAATAGAAATCTATGTGATTGGTAACATCTTATAGAACTATATAGTACACTATCATGATCTGGATGTTGACATTAATATGATCCCCCAATCTTACCCAGATTTTCCCAGTTTTACTAGTACTTGTGTGTATATTTCACTCTTTGTAATTTTTTTTTTTTTTTTTTTTTG